TCCTCATTGAATGACTATTTCTTTTCCCCATTTTTTTACCTGTTCTTTTTTTGTTTAATTCTCTGACTCATTCTATTTTTGCCCCTTTCGGTCTTCCTCTTCTCATTCCCTCATGCCATCTATTTAATTATTTCTTCATTCTCTTTTCAGTGGCGTTCCTCTTCCCATGTCATTTACTCACCACTATCCTGTCGTTTATTAATATATTTTTTTTATTCTCTCTCCATTCTTTACAGTTTACTCTTTGAAAGATCCTTTTTCTCGTACTCTTCTTCATCTTTACTCCTTGTCCATTTCTCCTTCTCCTCATTCTATCCTTCTCTCTTCTTCATCCAGTGCCAAATACTCATCGCATAATTTTCTCTATCATATCATTTATTGGTTGTTTTCTCTCATTCTGTTTTAAGTTTCCTGCCTCACCCGATATCAGTTATTTCTCTGTAATGCAATCTATCAGCCAATTCTCTCCCTCTCTCCTCATCCCAAGCCATTTACTCAATCTTCTCGCTTGTCATTCATTGGCCATTTCTCTCCCATTGTGTCCAGCGGCTTCCCTCACCCCAACTAAGTCTCTCTCTTTAATATATACGATTAGCCAATTCTCTCATTTTCTCCTCATTCCAAACCATTCACTCATCGACTAGTTCTTTCTGCCATGCCATTCATCGACCATTTCTTCCTCATTCTCCTTTCATCACTGGCCTTCCTCACGCGACATCAATGAATTCCCTTTATTGCAATCTATCAACCGATATTCATTTCCTCATCGACCAGTTCTCTCTGTCACGCCGTTTATTGACCATTCCTTCTCTTTTTCCAGCGGCCTTCCTCATTCCATACACAATCATGCTGCTGTTCTCTGGCCTCCCGATCTTCTTCATGGAGCTCGCCCTCGGGCAGTACGTCAGCCTCGGTCCTGCTCTGCTCTTCCCCAAACTGGCTCCTGTGTTCTCGGGTAAGTATGGGGTGGAGAGGGACAGAGGGTGGAGTTGGTGGTGGAGAGATTGTGGAGTTGGTGGTGGAGAGGGAGAAAGGATGAGGATGGTGGTGGAGAGGGAGATAGGGTGGAGGTGGTGAGATAGTGGAAAGGGAGAGGAGAATGGGTTGGTAGTGGAGAGGGAGAGATGGTGGTGTATAGGAGGGATTGGGGTAGAGGGAGAAAGTGGGGGAGAAATGCGGGAGGGAAAAGAGAGAAAAGGACAGGGACAGAGAAAGACGGAAGGAGGATGCGGAGGGAATGAATGCAGAAAGATAGATAGATAGATAGATAGATAGAGAGAGAGAGAGAGAGAGAGAGAGGAAAGAGAGAGAGAGAGAGAGAGAGAGAGAGAGAGAGAGAGAGAGAGAGAGAGAGAGAGAGAGAGAGAGAGGAAAATGATGAAGCAGAGGAAAGGAAGAACAAAGTTAGAACACACAAGGCGAAACAATCTATCTTTCTACCTACCTACACATAATAATAATAATAATAATAATAATAATAATAATAATAATAATAATAATAATAATAATAATAATAATAATAATAATAATAATAATAATAATAATAATAATAATAATAATAATAATAATAATAATAATAATAATAATAATAATAATAATAATAATAATAATAATAATAATAATAATAATAATAATAATAATAATAATAATAATAATAATAATAATAATAATAATAATAATAATAATAATAATAATAATAATAATAATAATAATAATAATAATAATAATAATAATAATAATAATAATAATAATAATAATAATAATAATAATAATAATAATAATAATAATAATAATAATAATAATAATAATAATAATAATAATAATAATAATAATAATAATAATAATAATAATAATAATAATAATAATAATAATAATAATAATAATAATAATAATAATAATAATAATAATAATAATAATAATAATAATAATAATAATAATAATAATAATAATAATAATAATAATAATAATAATAATAATAATAATAATAATAATAATAATAATAATAATAATAATAATAATAATAATAATAATAATAATAATAATAATAATAATAATAATAATAATAATAATAATAATAATAATAATAATAATAATAATAATAATAATAATAATAATAATAATAATAATAATAATAATAATAATAATAATAATAATAATAATAATAATAATAATAATAATAATAATAATAATAATAATAATAATAATAATAATAATAATAATAATAATAATAATAATAATAATAATAATAATAATAATAATAATAATAATAATAATAATAATAATAATAATAATAATAATAATAATAATAATAATAATAATAATAATAATAATAATAATAATAATAATAATAATAATAATAATAATAATAATAATAATAATAATAATAATAATAATAATAATAATAATAATAATAATAATAATAATAATAATAATAATAATAATAATAATAATAATAATAATAATAATAATAATAATAATAATAATAATAATAATAATAATAATAATAATAATAATAATAATAATAATAATAATAATAATAATAATAATAATAATAATAATAATAATAATAATAATAATAATAATAATAATAATAATAATAATAATAATAATAATAATAATAATAATAATAATAATAATAATAATAATAATAATAATAATAATAATAATAATAATAATAATAATAATAATAATAATAATAATAATAATAATAATAATAATAATAATAATAATAATAATAATAATAATAATAATAATAATAATAATAATAATAATAATAATAATAATAATAATAATAATAATAATAATAATAATAATAATAATAATAATAATAATAATAATAATAATAATAATAATAATAATAATAATAATAATAATAATAATAATAATAATAATAATAATAATAATAATAATAATAATAATAATAATAATAATAATAATAATAATAATAATAATAATAATAATAATAATAATAATAATAATAATAATAATAATAATAATAATAATAATAATAATAATAATAATAATAATAATAATAATAATAATAATAATAATAATAATAATAATAATAATAATAATAATAATAATAATAATAATAATAATAATAATAATAATAATAATAATAATAATAATAATAATAATAATAATAATAATAATAATAATAATAATAATAATAATAATAATAATAATAATAATAATAATAATAATAATAATAATAATAATAATAATAATAATAATAATAATAATAATAATAATAATAATAATAATAATAATAATAATAATAATAATAATAATAATAATAATAATAATAATAATAATAATAATAATAATAATAATAATAATAATAATAATAATAATAATAATAATAATAATAATAATAATAATAATAATAATAATAATAATAATAATAATAATAATAATAATAATAATAATAATAATAATAATAATAATAATAATAATAATAATAATAATAATAATAATAATAATAATAATAATAATAATAATAATAATAATAATAATAATAATAATAATAATAATAATAATAATAATAATAATAATAATAATAATAATAATAATAATAATAATAATAATAATAATAATAATAATAATAATAATAATAATAATAATAATAATAATAATAATAATAATAATAATAATAATAATAATAATAATAATAATAATAATAATAATAATAATAATAATAATAATAATAATAATAATAATAATAATAATAATAATAATAATAATAAAGAAGCACACGCACATACACAAATACACACACACACACACACGCACACACACACACACACACACACACACACACACACACACACACACACACACACACGTACACGCACACAAATACAAATATTCCTTTTAATTCCAGTCCTGCCCCTCAAAAATGGTAAGATTACATAACCATTATGAAAGAGATGGTATATATAAATACCTGAAAATTGGACAATAATTAAGAATAATTATAATGATAATAAAAAAGAACTCAACGTAACTTGTAATCACTTCTATCAACAATGAAAATGGCTGTTTAGTTTCTAATGATAGATATTCGCAAAGTTCGCGTGGTTATCATGTCTTGTGGAAAATTTTATAATAATAGTTCCCGATGACTTACAAATGGACAAACGCCATTGCAGTATCAAGACAGTTCGTTCCTCTGCACTCTGTGTGATGTTAGTGAAGAATAGAATAGCCTAGCGGAAGGGAATAGGGTCCTTTTAGTCATTCATTTTCTTTTTTCTTTCTCCCTCTTTTAGTTTGCTTGTCTGCCTCTCTGTTCCTGTCTGTACATTTGTCTGTCTACCTGTCTGTTTTTTTTCCCGTTTGACTGTCTGTCTGTCTCTTTCCCTCTACTTATTCCTCTCCCTCTCCCTCTCTGGAGTAATGTAGTTTCTCATTATTCCACTACCCTCCTCCTTGACAAAAATTAGAACCCACATATTCTGGGCCTCAAACAAAGTCCACAAAATGGCATTCACAATGTTGTAATCTATAGTATTTTGTCTGCTGTCTGGTAAACAAATGACAGTCGATGACAAAATGAAAATGGTTGGTTTGCACTTTGTGGCAAAGGCTCACACATTCACTTGTGTGAGACTTGTTTTAAACGGTCTGATGTGATTTAGTCTTAGCTGATATTCCATAGACTCTAACTACTTTCCTTGTTTTTTTTCATAATTTTGTCAACGTCAGACATATTCCTTTGCCGTCCATGCAACTTTTCATAAAATCCGAATTCTTCCTCTTCAGTGTCCTAATCCTCTCCTGTCCCTTCTACCTCCTAAAGACGCCTTGCCTATCTCCTTCCTTGTTACAGTTTCCTTGGTATCTGTTCAGAAACCAAACTTCTTCCTATTATCTTTCGCTCGTCTCCCAAATCATTTCTGTCCATCTTGTCCCATCGTCTATTTCTTTTTTCTTACTAACTTCTTTTTTCTAGTTATCCCATCTCCCATCATCTTTCCCAACCTAACTTCAGTATCCGA